AACAGCACGAGCTGCTGGTAGGACTCAGTGGCGTGGAACCCATAGCAGATGACATCCTCATAGTGGGCTGTGGGGACAGTGATGAGGAGGCAGAATGTGACCATGACGCCAAACTGCTGGCCCTGATGGACAGATGCAGACAGGTCAAGCTAAGGCTAAGCATAAGAAAGCTTCAGTTCACAGCGCCAGAGGTCCGCTTTCATGGGCACATCTTGTCCTCCACTGGATTGAAGGCGGATCCTGAGAAAGTGAAGGCTGTCTTGGACATGCCCCCCCCCCCCCCCCCCCCCCCCATCCCATCTGATGTGAAGGCAGTGCAGCGCTTTGTCGGATTCATCACCTACCTGGCCAATTTCCTACTGCAGCTCTCGGAGGTGTGTGAGACACTAAGGAGGCACATGGACAAGGATGCCATCTGGCATTGGCTCCCAAAACACGACGCAGCGGTGAGGGAAATAAACCAACTGGTCACCCAGACACCTGTACTGCGATACTACGATGTGTCAACCTGTCACGATTCAGAGTGACTCGAGTCAGTATGGACTGGGCTGTTGCCTCATGCATGAGGGCCAGCCTGTGGCATTCGCCTCTAGGGCACTCACTCCAACAGAGCAAAACTATGCCCAGATAGAAAAAGAGTGCCTCAGCATTGTGTTTGCATGCCAACGCTTCCACCACTACCTGTACGTGCGCAACAACATTACCACAGAGACAGATCACAAGCTCCTTATTGCTATCTTCAGCAAGCCTCTCCTGAACTCCCGAAACGACTGCAGAGCATGCTACTGGCTCTACAAAGCTACAACCTCAAGGTGGTGTATAAGCCAGGGCCGGAGATGTATGTGAGTGACACGCTCAGCAGGGCTACTGCATCAGGCACACACACATGCTCCATGCATGAACAACACACAGTGTGCAGCTTACATACAGAGCAAGTGGATGTTGAACACATCAACCAGGCTGATTACCTCAATGTTACTGACCAGCGCCTTGTACAAATCAGACAGCATACAGACAGGGACAAGGGATTGAGTTCTGTGATTCTGATGGGCTGGCCCAACTGCAAGGAAGAAACTGCTCTAGCTGTCAGAGAATATTGGCCAGTCAAAGAGGAGCTCAGTGTTCAAAACAGAGTAATATAAAAGGGTCAGAGAGACGTTATTCCCCGGTCCCTGTGCCCTGTGATGTTGGAGCGTGCACTCAAGTCACATTGGAGGTGAGGCCTGTTACAGACAAGCACGTGACACACTGTATTGGCAATGCAGAGAGAAATAAGAGACTATGTCAATAAATCCACAATCTGCAATGAATACGCCATTGAGCAACAGAGAGAGACGATGATGTTCAACGAGCTACCGACGCGCCCCTGGCAGATAGTCAGTCTAGATCTCTTCCAGCACAGTGGCAAATACTTTCTTCTGTTAGTCGATCACTACTCAGACTTCTGGGAGACTGACCTCCTCCCCGACCTCTCAGCAGAGACAACGATCAAACGCTGCAAGGCTCAGTTTGCCCACTATGGCCAGCCAGATAGGGTAATCGCAGATAATGGACCCCAATTCTTCAGTTTTGAGTTTAGGCAATTTGCTGCAGAATGACAATTCGAGCACGTCACCTAATCGCCACGACACCCAAAAGCTAATGGGAAGGCAGAGTCGGCAGTCAAAATCGCAAAGAACCTCTGCGAGAGGGCAAGGATGCCTGGAAAGCAGTCCTGCAGTGGTGCAATACCACAACGGCGCTTAAAAGCAGCTCTGCCGGTAGCCAACACTCTCCTGGAGCCCTGTGTAGTGACAGATATGCTCGAGAAGCTTTGTCACAGAAGACAGGTGTCCAAGTTCATCTATGACAAATCAGCAAAGGACTTACCTGAGCTCAGGGTGGGTGAAGCGGTGCGGATGAAGACACTACCAGGGGACCGGAAGGGCCACTGGAGACTTGGATCCTGTGTGCAAAAAGTTGCACCACGCTCCTACTTGGTCGAAGTGAATGGATCACTGTACCGTCGTAACAGGGTTGACCTTCGGGTTGCTGAGCCAGTACCTACTCAGAACCCTGATGGTCATAGGGGTCGCATGACAAAGGACGGAACCCCAGCAAGTCACGTGGGGCCTGAGGCACTGGGCGAAGCATACCCCACGAGACATGCCACCAGAGGTCTCTTCACAATCCCCAAGTCCAGAACAGACTATGGGAAATGCACAGTACTACATAGAGCCATGACTACATGGAACTCTATTCCACATCATGTAACTCATTCAAGCAGTAAAATCAGATTTAAAAAACTGAGAAAACTACACTTTATGGAACAGCGCGGACTGTGAAGAGACACACACACACACAGGCACACACACAGCATTCGCAAACACATGCTAACACACGCACTCTACACACATACATTTTAATATAGTTATTTTGCTGTATTATTGATTTTGTATTGTAAATATGTTATTGTAGAGTAGTGTGTAATAAGGTGTTGTGTTATGTATTGTTTTATTGTATGTAAATTGTGGTTGGACCCCAGGAAGAGTAGCTGCTGCCTTGGCAGCCTAATAAATACAAATACAAATACGAATACAAATACAAATACAAATACAGGGCAGCTGCTCACTCGCCCATCAACACTCCCCTCAGACGGTCAGGTGACAGAAAAGCCCCGTCTTTTCACGCTGCCGGCGGCTGTCCTAGCCACCTAAAAGACTTCATCTCTAGGTTTCCTATTATGTATTGTTGACAGAGATTAAAAATAAAAATAAAAGTGAAGAGACTATCAACATGTATTGTTTATTTTATACCTGGGGAAAAAAAAAAAAAAAACTGTTCATGTTGGATATTATTAATACGTTTGTTTTGTTATTTTTTATTTTATTTTTTATGGATCAGCTTAATATTGCAGATAGATTGTATCTTCTATCAATGTAATTGTCTGCATCACTTCCAATCCCCCATGTTTTTTATATACATTGGGGGGAAAAAGTATTTAGTCAGCCACCAATTGTGCAAGTTCTCCCACTTAAAAAGATGAGAGAGGCCTGTAATTTTCATCATAGGTACACGTCAACTATGACAGACAGAATGAGAAAAAAAATCCAGAAAATCACATTGTAGGATTTTTTATGAATTTATTTGCAAATTATGGTGGAAAATAAGTATTTGGTCACCTACAAACAAGCAAGATTTCTGGCTCTCACAGACCTGTAACTTCTTTAAGAGGCTCCTCTGTCCACTCGTTACCTGTATTAATGGCACCTGTTTGAACTTGTTATCAGTATAAAAGACACCTGTCCACAACCTCAAACAGTCACACTCCAAACTCCACTATGGCCAAGACCAAAGAGCTGTCAAAGGACACCAGAAACAAAATTGTAGACCTGCACCAGGCTGGGAAGACTGAATCTGCAATAGCTTGGTTTGAAGAAAAAATTAGATTAGATGTATACTATATTTAAAAATGTATATCCCTCATCTACACAAAATTGAAAGCTCTCTCTCACTACCCCTGCTCATAGACCCCCGGTCGGCTCTGGGATATGCAACCATTTCCCTTTTGTTTTGTTTTGTTAGTGATTTGACAGCGGATGTTCTATTTTATAAAAGGGAAGATGTTATGGGTGTAAGATGGCACGTTGATGCCATCTGTTGGTAAATGTTCATTACTGCAACACCAGTGTTTTTACCAGTGTGCTTGATATACCCAGATGAATTACAATGTGCTGAACAAGACTGGTTACTCGCATCAATGACTCGTCATTTAACATCCAAACAATATGGCCTCTGCAGATGTCAGGGCATTCCTACCTCTTGCGGAGCATCGCAGAGCAGTTGTGGAGGAAGTTGTCAAGGAAGTGAGTTTATGTTTATACAGGACCTCACGCCCTCACCTACTGTCAACCAATCATGTTAATGCGAAGCTATACAGAGCCTTCCTTATTGTTACAACATTTGAGAGGCGCATGGCGATGTTGTACAGAGGTGAATTTGAGCTCTGCACTTGCGTCACACCATCCATACAGCGCATCCAACCACATTTTTCTGATCAAGCATAAATTGTTTTTTAGCCCATTGTCGTCAGTTGCTAATTCTACAAGACATTCGCTGCTGTGAGGTGAGTAGGCTATAATTCAGTATTTCTTTATAACTTAGTTGTTGGTTCGATTGATGTTGTTAAAGTATTGTGACAAACTAACAGTTAGTGGTCTGGAGTGATAGTGTCATTTGGAAACTGACTGAGTTTGATTTTGCTAGTTTGAAAGTCAGCCCAAGTCAGCTAACATTATGTTAGTGGGCTAGCCTGCTAGTGGAAATGTGTGTTTTGGATGCATGTATGGTAGACTAGGCTATTTGTTGCTTTCCTTTAGCTGGGCAATTTACAAAACAGATATCGTTCCCGAGGAGCTCTAAGTTAGTGTTTGGAGACAGCTGCAAATAAAAGTGCGCACTTCCCATATAAAGTGAACTGTCACAGTTGGAACAGTCGGTAGCTAATGGATACAAATAAATACGTTGTCACATAACTTTATTTCCAGCCGACTCAAATTCAATATCAATTCAACATTGAGAAAATAACTACCTCAAGATATTGATTGATTTAATTAACCATTATTTAACCAGATCAGTCATGTCAGTTTACTTTCAGTTTTGATTATAGCCTAGTCCTCAATGTTACAAAAACAAATATACCCACCCTTACGAAAGTTTACTTTCAGTTTTGATTATAGCCTAGTCCTCAATGTTACAAAAACAAATGTACCCACCCTTACGAAAAAATATTGCAGTCAGAGTGCAGTATAACTGCAATTACTGCATCCAAAATACCACAGTCGACTGCAGTTACTGCACTTTTACAGCAGTTTCAAAACTGCAATCTTTTTGTGTAAAGGCACTGTGCACAGAGGTCATTTCAACGTCTATTCCACGTTGGTTCCACGTTCAGTGTGTGGAAAAAACGTTCATTCAACCAGTGTGTGCCCAGTGGGTCTTCTTCATCTCTGAATGTAATATGCCAACATTATCTTACACTCAAACGTTTGTTCTTTACAGGTTAACATTGGATTTCCTGTGCTGTGAGCCATGGCCAAGTCATTGAATATCCCTCTAGAGGAAGAGATGGTGAGCATCCTAGGCCAATGTGGATCAGCTCTGACTAACGTCCTGCAAAGCAAGTTTGGATGCACTACTGTGCTCCATGGTGTAGATGCCCACTATGCAGGGCAGTCGAGGAAGCCCTCTATCTTTCCTGAGGAAAGGTTTTCTATACATCTATCCAAGAGCTTCAAGGTGTCTGTGTGGAAGGATGACCTTACCACTCACCGCGTTGATGCTGTGGTCAATGCTGCCAACAACGGTCTAAAGCATTATGGAGGTCTCGCAAAAGCGCTTAGCGATGCTGGTGGCCCAGCTATCCAGCAAGATAGTGACCAGTACATTTTCAGTAAAGGAATGTTGTCAACGGGAGATGCTATCATCACCCCACCTGGATACCTTCCATGCAGGAAGATCATTCATGCTGTGGGTCCAAACCTTCCATACAACCCCAGAAAATATGACGTTGATGTTGCCACACCACAACTCCAAAGGGCTGTTATAAGTATTCTGAAAGTGGTCAAGCAAGATAATCTGCAGTCAGTTGCCATTCCTGCCATAAGTTCTGGCCTGTTCAACTATCCCTTGCCTCTCTGTGCAGATGTCATTGTTAAAACCCTGAAAGAGTACCATGATCCGAATTACTCCGGAGCTCCACTAGAGGTTCGTCTGGTTAATCATGATGAGCCATCGGTCAGGGAGATGGAGAGAGCGTGCCGTCAAATACTGGGGTCCTCTGGTTCACACAGTCAACAAGTGGTGGCTCAGGGGCAGTCACCTAAGGCGTCATACAGTCCAGCTGCAAGCAGCCACGGGAAAGGCTCCACCAAACCCTTTTCAACACATACGGTTCAGCTTGGGAATGTCAGTCTGACCATCAAAAAAGGATACATCGAGAGAGAGAAGGTAAAATAATAGAGCATAGGAATGATACATGAGCATAATAATGCGGTAAATTATATTGATTGTGGAATTTGTAAATATTTGGCATTGTTTCAGCAAGAAATCTCTTTAAATATCTGAAAAACAAAACTGTGATGAATTGATATTCTTTCTTGCTCATCTTTTATTGACAGACTCTCGGTATTGTGAACACAATTTCTACTGACCTGAATTTGTCAACCGGGGTAATATCCAATGCAATCCTGAAAGCAGCTGGCCAAGGCATCCAGAAAGAGATCTGGAATTACTTCAAAAACAACCCCAAATCTGGTGATGTTATTGAAACCCAGGGACACAAACTACTATGCAAAAATGTGTACCACACTATATGCCCTCACAAAAGTAAAGTGTCTGAAAAGGTAAATGCAAATAAGTCTCTATAAGACTTAGTAAGGGAACCAACTACACTGCAATGGACTGTTATGAGATCAAATATGAAATTGTTAGCCTACCTCGTTGTTCCTAGCAATACGTTAAGAATAGTATATCTCTAACTATATTTGCTATATCCAGTCCATACGTGTAACATGGAATAAGCAAGGAATTTGTAAGCTTTCTGTATTCCTCTTCTAACAGAGTCTTGGTGACATCGTCTCTAAGTGTCTGAGCATGGCACAAAAAAGGCAGCTGTCTTCAATCTCCTTCCCAGCCATTGGTACTGGTGTGCTGGGCTTCAGCAAGCAGGAGGTTGCAAAGATCATGATGGACACAGCCGTGACATTTGCCCAGCACAACAATGGAATGAAGATGGATATTTATTATGTGATCTTTCCATCTGACGCTGAGACATTTAAGGTATGTGTACAATAAAAGTATTATCAGTCACTTTCATACATTTACATTTACGTCATTTAGCAGACGCTCTTATCCAGAGCGACTTACAGTTAGTGCATACATTATTCTTTATTTTATTTTCATACTGGCCCCCCGTGGGAATCGAACCCACAACCCTGGCGTTGCAAACGCCATGCTCTACCAACTGAGCTACCTCCCTGCCGGCCATTACCTCCCCTACCCTGGACGACGCTGGGCCAATTGTGCGCCGCCCCATTGGTCTCCCGGTTGCGGCCGGCTACAGCAGAGCCTGGATTCGAACCAGGATCTCTAGTGGCACAGCTAGCACTGCGATGCAGTGGCCTGGTCCCACAGGTCTTTGACAATTTCACTCTTTTAATTAGGCTACTTAGCAGTCTTTAAACTGAAGAGTTTGGGAATATGGTGTATTTCCAAATCAAGACTTAATTCTTTACTGTCTTGCTCTGACACACCAGAACTGATATAGCATAGTTACCAGTAGGATTGTGCATATATCGTCATATTCGTAATCGTATCAGTTATATCACACTTGATACTCGTAATCGGATTTACTTGTGATCGGAGAACCCGGAAGTGTGCTTTAAATGTCGGTAAAGCCTATACCTCAAGTGCGCATGACTGCGCTATCACTGAGTGCATCTCAATGCGTATCGTTATGTTCCTTCACTCATTCACACACATTGTTAAACGACCCCGACAGATGAAAATGCACATTATTTATTTACTTAGTCCTATTCAATTATCAACGGAATAAGCAAATAAATAGCGTAATGCATGGCTGGCTACTACTGTCTGCATTTATTCCAGACACAGATTTAGATGAAGTTAGGCTAATTCAGTTGCCCCATATTGTTTCACTTCCGAGAGGAGCAAAGCTTTTCTCTCCCGACACTTATGCCACAACATTTGTACAATCAAAATAAACAATCTACATTTGTCATTATATTTTCTAATGATCGCTCGATAAACATGCCTGGGCGAGGATAAATAATATTAGCAAGAAAGCATGGGCATGGATCACAACATAATGACAGACGTCGTCAGCAATGGAATAATTATACAGACAGACAAAGTAAACCTACTTAACAACGCCAAGTACACAGACAAAAACAACCATATGACCTCAGCAAAGTCGACAGGAAATAACTACGTTGAACAACAATGACTAGCTACGGATTCATACATGATGTTTGGAGAAGGGGAGACTTGTGACCGTGAGTGAGTGAAACAGCTGTGCATGTGTCTGGGGAAAGGAGAGCAGAGGGAAAGCAGCTAGTTCTAATCGAATCTTTGCAGCTGACTCAACCGATACCCCGCCAGTTTCTTTACAGACAGAAGAACTAGCCAATAGTTGTTTAGAGCACACAGCACTTCACACTGTTTGTTTGAGTGAAAGAGAGCTGCGTGCTGGCAGCTGAAAATATCCGGTCACGGATCATTACAAAAAATATTTTTTATAATCGTATTTGGAAAATTCTCCATATCCGTTACGATACTTGTTTTGTCCGAGTACTCGGCACACCCCTAGTTACCAGTGCTCACATATTTCTTCTCTTTTCCACAGGCTTTTGAAGATCAACTGAAATCTCTTCAAGGCGCAACACAACATTCTAGCTCCTCCTCTAAAGGTGAGTTCCCAATCAAAAGAAGTAGACTAAGTGGTATGTTAATATAATTTGTGTCTCAACAGAACACATACAACATATTTCTTCCAACTTTTGAACTAACGTATGCTTTCATGTCTGTGAATCGGCAAGGATTTGGGCACACAACTGATCAGTATGAGTCCAGAGCTACAAATGAACACCGATATCCAAGGGGAGGTGCATCACCGTATATCGAGCTCAACAGTGCCCACAGTGATAAATCGATGGAGGCCAAATCTTGGCTCACTCATGCTTTCAAGCCCTCTGAGAACTTCACCATTTTCAACAGTTTCATACTGCACTTTGGTCAGAGGGAATTTGACGAGCTGCTTTCCCTTCAAACCAAGTGGAATGTTTCCATTGAGGAGTTCTTTAAAGATGGTCGTACTGGTGTGAACATCCAGGGGGCTTCTAGAGGTGTCAGAGCTTCTGTGATAGAGTTGGAAGCCATTTGCTGCAAAGTCCAAGAAGATTTTGCAAATAAAGAGGAGCTTGACATGGGCCTGAAATCGTCCAACAATTTCTCAAGGAAGCCTGTAGAGAAGAACAGCTCAGATGATTTTTCCGGGCTTGAAATTGTCAGGGTGAGTGTTAACAAAATAAACTACAGATTTAACATTAAAGGTGCAATCTGTTATATTTACTGCATGATAATTGATCAAATATGGTTGAATCTTTTGTTACAGGTTGAGAAGGTGGAGAATAGCACTCTGAAGCATCTCTTTGAGCTAAAGAAGAGACAGTTGCAGTCTGCCTCTTCACAACGAATGTACCAGCGCCTGCCAGCGCAATACTGTGACCTGGTCAGCCGAGTGGGCTTCCAGAGGGAGTTTGCACCACCTTACGGTAAGAGAGAAGCCACCTATTTAAATGGAATGACATTTTATAGACTTTCACAAGGCTTTTTGAGGCACATACCTAGTTTGCAGCTAAAACATAACTCAACCTACCTCATCACACGTTTTTGTTAATGTGTTTCTTTCATCCATAGAGCAAAGGTATGGAGAGGGTATCTACTTCAGTAGCAGCGTGCATGGGGCAGAGAAGTTGTGGAGGGGCTTGGCTGATGAAGAGTACCTGTACTTCATTGAGGCGCAGGTGCTGACAGGAGAGTCTACTATTGGCTCACCAGGTCTTACTGTGCCACCGGAGACCCCCGGTGGAGACCCGCTCAGCCTGTATGACAGCGTAAAAGGGGGTGTAGACACCTGTGTCATTTTCAATGGTCACCAGGCCCTACCTGAATATCTGATCATCTGCAACAAAACTTCAACCCATAAGTTTGGATAACGATGAAGTCCTATGAAGTAATTGTTGAAAAAAAAATTACATTTACATTTTAGTCATTTAGCAGACGCTCTTATCCAGAGCGACTTACAGTTAGTGAGTGCATACATTTTTTCATACTGGCCAAGAGCGATATAGATCTTCATTTTGTTCAGTGATTGTCTACTATACACTGATTTTATGAAATTCTGACATTTGCATCACATGTATATTGTTTTTTGATTTGCCATGGTTTAGTTTCTGCCTCGGTAAAAGCACTACGGCTTCAGTTTATAGCCAACTAAATGTTATTGCAGTTTGAATGGGTACGTTATGAATTTAGCAGTGGGTTTGCATGTATACTGAACAAAAATATAAACATAACATGCAACAATTTCAAAGATTTTACTGAGTCACAGTTCATATAAGGAAATCAGTCAATTGAAATAAATTAATTAGGCCCGAATCTATGGATTTCACATGAATGGGAATACAGATATACATCTGTTGATCACAGATACCTTAAAAAAAAAAAGTAGGAGGATGGATCAGAAAACCAGTCAGTATCTGGTGTGACCACCATCTGCCTCATGCAGCGCGACACATCTCCTTCGCATAGAGTTGATCAGGGTGTTGATTGTGGCCTGTGGAATGTTGTCCCACTCCTCTTCAATGGCTGTGCGAAGTTTCTGGATATTGGCAGGAACTGGAACACGCTGTCGTACACGTCAAACCAGAGCATCCCAAACATGCTCAATGGGTGACATGTCTGTGTATGCAGGTCATAAATAATTGTTATGTGATATATGAAAAAAGTTATGGTTCACAATATTTTGGCAATGAATATAACTTACGGAAAGACTGCAGAATGTGCCTGATTGTGCTAAACAATAAATATTATAACATTTTGTTACTGCCACCTAGTACATCAAGAATTAAAACATGATCTGAGTTTTAACCAGACTGTCGGTTTTCACTCTATTCTAGATAGTGACATGTTACCCCACCCAACAGCAGGTTGAAAAGTCTACACACTTTCTGTTCAGATGAAGCCAATGCTTCCATGCAAAAGAGGCTTTGACATTCAAATCCACTCAATGTATGTGCATTCGGAAAATATTTTCCACATTTTGTTACGTTACAGCCTTATAAAAAAAAAAAAAATCTACACACAATACCCCATAAGGACAAAGCAAAAACAGGTTTTTATACATTTTTGCAAATGTATAAAAAAATCAAACCTGAAATATCACATTTACATAAGTATTCAGACCCTTTACTCAGTACTTTGTTGAAGCACCTTTGGCAGCGATTACAGCCTCGAGTCTCCTTGGGTATGACGCTACAAGCTTGGCACACCTGTATTTGGGGAGTTTCTCCCATTCTTCTCTGCAGATCCTCTCAAGCTCTGTCAGGTTGGATGGGGAGTGTCGCTGCATAGCTATTTTCAGGTCCCTCCAGAGATGTTAGATCGGGTTCAAGTCCAGGCTCTGGCTGGGCCACTCAATGACATTCAGAAACTTGTCCCGAAGCCACTCCTGCGTTGTCTTGGCTGTGTGCTTAGGGTCGTTGTCCTGTTGGAAGGTGAACCTTAGCCCCAGTCTGAGGTCCTGAGCACTCTGGAGCAGGTTTTCATTAACGATCTCTCTGTACTTTGCTCCGTTCTTCTCTCCCTCGATCCTGACTAGTCTCCCAGTCCCTGCTGCTGAAAAACATACCCACAGCATGATGCTGCCACCACCATTCTTCACCGTAGGGATGGTGCCAGGTTTCCTCCAGACGTGACGCTTGGCATTCAGGCCAAAGAGTTCAATCTTGGCTTCATCAGACCAGAGAATCTTGTTTCTCATGGTCTGAGAGTCTTTAGGTGCCTTTTGGCAAACTCCAAGCGGGCTGTCATGTGCCTTTTACTGAGGAGTGGCTTCCGTCTGGCCACTCTACCATAAATGCGTGATTGGTGGAGTGCTGCAGAGATGGTTGTCCTTCTGGAAGGTTCTCTCATCTCCACAGAGGAACTCTGGAGCTCTGTCTGAGTGACCATCGGGTTCTTGGTCACCTCCCTGACCAAGGCCTTTCTCCCCCGATTGCTCAATTTTGAGTCTCATAGCAAAGGGTCTGAATACTTATAAGGTATGTTTTTTTTTTTTTATACATTTGCAAACATTTCTATAAACCTGTTTTCGCTTTGTCATAATGGGGTATTGTGTGTAGATTGATGAGGAAAAAAATGAATTGAATCCATTTTATAATAAGGCTGTAAGGTAACAACATTTGGAAAAAGTCGTGGTCTGAATACTTTCCGAATGCACTGTATACTTAATATGATCCGATCTATATATGTACAGTTGATGTCGGAAGTTTACATACACTTAGGTTGGAGTCATTAAAACTCGTTTATCAACCACTCCACAAATGTCTTGTTAACAAACTATAGTTTTGGCAAGTCGGTTAGGACATCAACTTTGTGCATGACACAAGTAATTCTTCCAACAATTGTTTACAGACAGATTATTTCACTTATAATTCACTGTATCACAATTCCAGTGGGTCAGAAGTTTACATACACTAAGTTGACTGTGCCTTTAAACAGCTTAGAAAATTTCAGAAAATGATGTCATGGCTTTAGAAGCTTCTGATAGGCTAATTGACATTTGAGTCAATTGGAGGTGTACCTGTGGATGTATTTCAAGGCCTACCTTCAAACTCAGTGCCTCTTTGCTTGAGATCATGGGAAAATCTAAAGAAATCAGCCAAGACTTCAGAAAAATATTTTTTGACCTCCACAAGTCTGGTTCATCCTTGGGAGCAATTTCCAAACGCCTGAAGGTACCACGTTCATCTGTACAAACAATAGTACGCAAGTATAAACACCATGGGACCACGCAGCCGTCATACCGCTCAGGAAGGAGACGCGTTCTGTCTCCTAGAGATGAACGTACTTTGGTGTGAAAAGTGCAAATCAATCCCAGAACAACAGCAAAGGACCTTATGAAGATGCTGGAGGAAACAGGTACAAAAGTATCTATATCCACAGTAAAACAAGTCCTATATCGACATAACCGGTTTGGCCGGTGTAGGCCGTCATTGTAAATAAGATTTGTTCTTAACTGACTTGTCTAGTTAAATAAAGGTGTAAAAAAAAAAAAAAAAAACCTGAAAGGCCGCTCAGCAAGGAAGAAGCCACTGCTCCAAAATTGCCATGAAAAAGCCAGACTACGGTTTGCTACTGCACATGGGGACAAATACATTTGACATGTTCTATGGCTACAAAGCGCAGGGATGAAGGTGAGCCATGGTTGGCTTCTATGCAGTAGCGTGCAATAGCATATACCTACTTGCGAGTGTGCTAGCATGCGTGTGCGTATGCATGCCTGTGTGTATCTTTTCTTCACTGTCCACATTGTTCCATAAGGTGTATTTATATCTGTTTTTATATCTGATTTTACTGCTTGCATTCCACTTGATGTGGAATAGGGTTCCATGTAGTCATGGCTCAGTGTAGTACTGTGTATTTTCCAGAGTCTGTTCTGGACTTGGACTGTGAAGAGACCCCTGGTGGCATGTCTTGTGAGGTATGCATGGGTGTCTGAGCTGTGTGCCAGTCGTTTGAACAGACAGCTTGATGCTTTTAACATGTCAATACCTCTCACAAAGACAATAGTGATGCAGTCAGGGGCGGTGTGTTCATTAGGGCGATATGGGCGACGCACTGCCAAACGGGAAAAGGAAGGGATTTTTTTCTAATCAATTATATCACGGCAACAGTAGTTATCAGTGTTCTAATCTAGACGTCTGATCTGCCACTAAATGTCCAATCAGGCTAAAGTCGTGCTTCAAATGCCCCCCCCCCCCTTTTGGGGCGATTTCAGTCAGGTTGAAAATCGCCCCAGAAGTCTCTCATAGACTCTCATGTAAAAAATATTTTTTTCAAATATCAGAGCTTTCAATACAATCTCTATGGGTTTCTGAGGGCTTGCACTTACGTGCTTTCGTCATACGTAACATAACCATGAACGTAACTAAGAAAAGAGCGGGTAGCAGCGTCAATCAATTCACGTACTACTATCAAGATGGCTAACGTTCAGTGCAACTCGATTGTCTCTTTGAAAGAAGTTCACATCAAAGACCATTCAAAACGAGCTACTGGAGTGTATGCTAGCGGTCATGAGGGAACATATTGTGGAGGAGGTGAAGTCGGCGAACTTCGTAGCTATCCAAGCTGACGAGACCACGGACGTTTCTACACAGACACAGCTGGTGCTTGTGCTGAGGTACATAGATAGCAACCACAAAGTGCAGGAGCGCTTTTTTGAGTTCCTTCCCATCTCGGAATCAACCTCAGTCTCAATCGCCAGTGTGCTTTTGGAGAGACTGAACGGTATTTTTGCCGACGACGAGAAAGTCAAACTGTGGTGCACTGGCACTGTACCAGGTTCTCATGAGCTACAACCTCCAGGAGACGTTCTCTGAGACTGTGACTCTGTTGAACATCCTCATAACTACTCCAATGACAACAGCTGAAGCTGAGAGATGTTTCTCAACTTTGACACGAGTTAAGACATTCCTGCGAAATTCAATGGGCCAGGAACGTCTGAATGCACTGGCCATGTTTTCCATGGAGAGGGAACTAGTCCTCAGCATGCCTGATTTCAATGAGAAAGTCATTGACCGCTTTGCTGCATTGAAAGAGAGAAGAGAACAGTTTCAGTACAAGTAATGTAGCCTCTCTCTCTCTTTGTCCCTCCCTGTCTGTCTCTTTAACACACACACGCCCAAATCAGTTCACAGTTGATGTTGTTTAAAATAGTTATTTTTCATTTAAAAAAAAGTAAAAAAAAAAAATAATCTGTTCATGTTCATTTTTACAAATCTATACAATTGGCCAGAATATGGTTGTTCATATTTACAAATCTATACAATTGGCCAGAATATGGTTGTTCATTTTTACAAAGCCATACAGATAGCTGTGTTTACCTTTTCTAGAAATTATTTTCAAATTCTGTTTTCAGGCAAAATGTCTATCACTGTTCATTTTCACAAATATATACAAGAGGGCAGAATATGGAAGTCTATAAAAATGT